GACAGGGCAAGATAGCTCTAAGAAAGTAGAACACTTTTAGCAGCCATCCAGAGAGAATAAGATACATGAATGATCATGTGAGGGGCACCAAGGCCACAGATAGTTTAGCAGAGACCCAAAACTCATGGAGGTGCCGATAGTTCACAAGAGAAAAAGCCAGCCCCTTGGTGTCCATGTGTTGGAAACCTATATGAGTTTGGGACCCAGCAGAATTTTATTTCTAAGGAAAAGAAATGTGGTGGCGCCAATTTCAAATCCATTGTATTTGGTAGAAAACCTGAAAGTCTCTGGGCAGGGCTTGTTTTATTATTTCCCTTTGGGTTCCAACATTTGGATGCCATTCCTGTTCAACCACTAAACTGTTCAGTTGGCTGGCACATGTTTAGGTCACAATACTGTATTGTTCATGATGGGAAACAACAGAAATTCTACAACCTATTGAAAAGCCCGTGGGGATCTCTTTTCCATGACTTTTGTTGACTCAATAAATCTATTAAAGTGGTCTTCCTGGCATGGAATAAGTTAATAGTATTATTATTTATGAATGTAAATTTTTTTTTGGTCACAGATGAGTTTCAATTAGCCTCCAGAGACAAAAATAGTGCCATTTCATGTACCAAAAAAACTTTTTATGGCAAAAACTCAGTGTACTTACTTGACCAACCCATGACATGTGTCAGGCTGAATGTAACTCCTATCTATCTATCTATCTATCTATCTATCTATCTATCTATACATGGTCCATTTGTATATTTGAACTTGGGGTGTATGTGGTCTCCATGGAGAGTTTTCTACATGATCTTGCTAATGTGTGTTTAGAATGTCTCTGCCAATGGTATTCAAAAGCCTTCTTTAAGGTTCTAGAGTGTCTGATGCTTTGTGGCTATTTGTTATGATGTCGAAACTACTAGTTATAAGTAGACCTCTTAGGAGAAATCTTGGCAAAAAAACATAAAAAGAAAATAAAACCCAAACTTTAGCAAGATAGTGCCTACTATCTTTCCACTGGGAGAAATTATCCTTGGTTCAATTGTATAACCATGGTGACATATTTGAATTTCAACAAAGCCCAACTACACCACAAAGGAGGGCTCAGCCCATCTAGCTCCTATTCCTAGCATTTTTGTTGCAATACCTTTGAATAAAATCTCCAATGTCCTGGCTAAAAACACACACTAAAAATACTTCCAAGGCAGACAAAACAATCTGGATAGTGTATGTCAGAATTCTAAGAAATCACATAAAGACTAGAAGAAAAGCAGGTACTATTACAAAGGAGTAAAAAATCAAATGAAAAAATAATCAGTGAATGAACAGAAATATCTGCAAGCTTTCTAAAATAACATTCTGTAAATAAAAACAAGCAAGGGATTATGTTCACAGCAATTGGACATGTGGTAAGCCTCCTGAGGTCTGAAATAAGTAAACTGTATGCGCACATTCTTCTCTGAGCTGTTCCCTTCCTACTGCTCATGAGGCTCATGTCCTTCTTAGTAGAACTGTAGACACCAGGAGATGGATTTTGAGTTTTGCAAGAGTTTTTGTAGTCAACATCAGCTGGATACAAGAGCTAATTTTTGTCCAACAGTGTTTTGTAGTATTTTGTAACAATATCTGTAGAAGGAGCTGAAGACCAAGTCCTCTATCCTAACCAGATGACAAGAGTGAGGGAAACAAGACTGGGTAGGAAACGCATAATGGCCTTGTCACTTCTGCCAAAATACCACATCTAGACAGACAACCATTGGTACATAAGTGATGTGATTTTCCCTATGGACAGCACCAGGGAAATAGCTTTATTCTGTATGTGGCATGGGGCACAGGGTTTAAGGACAGAGTTTGAGGCTCGGGCCTCTCAATTCCCTTCTGCAGCATCCCAAATGCTATTGCCAGCTCTTAGCAGTTTCAGAGAGCTGATGAGAACCAGGAGGAAACAAACAGAAAGACAAATGAAAGAAAAAAAAAACACAACAAAAACAAAACAAAACCAAAAAACCTAACTAAACCATCCAAACAGCCAACCAACCAAAGAAGCAACCAAACAAAAACCCTGCCAGTGTTGTGAGCTTAGAGTGTCCAAGAGCCTCATATAGGGTTGGCCCAGAAGAACCAAAAGGAGAGGAGGGTTTTTCCAAATTGAAAATGTTGTGATTGTATGGTGCAATGCGTCCAGGAAGGGACAAGGATTGGAGGATTGGTGATGTCCTGAACCTGAGTACAAATCATTTCTCATCAGCAAAGTGAAAGCAGTAAGTCAGGTACTGCTTTCATTAAAGGAAAGTCTTAAATCTTCACACCCAAGGTGCTAGTTGAAAAAACACTGAGAACTTGGTAGACTCTGCACTGATCTTCAGAAAAACTTTATCTTCTAAACCCCCTCCCCAGCCAAGGTGGGCTTCCCTATTTCCATTTTAGTGAAGTTGAGCAGTTTGCATGAGGTCACTCAGCTGTTTAGTAGTAGGGGCAGGATATGCTCAGATAGTATGTCCCTAGACTCCACCAAAAGGCCCTTCTACAGTTGAAGTATGTTCTTGTAGAGTCAATGCCTGGAGCTTAACATGTGACGTGGTCTGAGGTAGACTGTGGTGATATCTGCTGTTCAACGAAGGCAGTTGTCTGTTCATTGTTGTTGTCCAGTGGAGAGCCAAAACAAATGCCCAGAATACAGATATTGCTTCAACTTGGGGCTCACATCTCATTGATGTGTTATTTAATACATCTCTACATAGTCATGGAAAATATTTCTTAAGTTCCCTGAATTCCTCAACTAATTAAATGTTCCAAATATTTTCTGAGCATGATTCCTGGTAGTCTAGAAACAGGCTGGTCAGTGTGGGCAGGAAGCAGAAGGTGAAGTGTCTACCTTGCTAGTGAACCCTGTAATGGACAATGCCATCAGGGTACCAGTACCCAGCCTTTGCTACACACTTGCCTATTCTTCCATCAGGAAAAGCCACTCCTGCCTATTTCAGGAAAGTGGGTAAATCTTCAGCTTCCCACTTACTCACCACCCTTCTTTGCCAACCACATTCTCATTTAGAGGAGAGTTGTGTTCATATTCTAATTTAGGACTTAACAAGTATCACACAAACATTTAATTCACTTTAATGTCATTACACATCTGAGGAGGGCAATTTATAGAAACGGGAGGGGGGATGATAGTCCCCTTGCCAGCAATTAGATGAACATAACAACCTGTCGTGGCATCTCCTTTTGGACTTGGGACTTTCTGTGCAAGTCTACAAACTAAACCAGACAAGTAAGTTCCTGGATTGTCAGAGGGGTCCAGCTGCCCCTCCTCAAAGCTCTCTCATTCAGCACAGTAATTCGTGAAATGGGCAAAGAGTCCCCTTTGGTTCTCAGATAACCAACCTCTCCTATGATACTTCTAGGAAAAAATGGTATTTTCATTTGTCATTGATATATTCACTGATACTATATCAGTATCAATAACTTTTCAGAAGGCCTTCCTGAGGATATGAGGAGACAGGCATACAGGTTAAATTGTATGCTAACTGCCCTCATTGTAGTCAGAGGGAATGACTTGCTTTGTATTTCTTTAGCTTTTCCCAGACACTTTATGCACTAACTACTTTTCATCCCCAGTTTTTCAATAACTGACACAAGGTAGCCAGTTCTTCAAAAAGATTGCGTCTGGTATCTTGTGACAGAGAGGTTCAGCTTCATTTGGAAATTTTCTTCAAGCTGATCAGTTGATGAATAACCTGGGAGCTGTTTCCATCATTAAGCACAGGGCTGAGAGTTAATTACATCAGAATTCTAATCTTGGCTCTGACCCTCATTAGCAGCATCATTTTGTGCAAGTCCCCTGGCCCCTCTTGGTATCTGTTTTATATCAGTAAAATGAAGAATATGAATGCAATTGGCCTCTCTGTGCTCTGAGATTCTTTGCCTTCAGAGATACTAGGAGCAATGAACAGGAAGCAGATTTCCTATATTGTCTCCAAGTGCTGTGTACATTTGCCAAAAACAACCTAGGCAATGTAGACAAGCCACACAGACTGGTGGTAAGCACCTATTTTCATCTATTTATGCCATTAAATGATAGTGTAATCCCTCACTGACAGAGTCATCTTCTCTAGCATTAGAAAAGATTTAGATCATCCCATGAGAGGCATGGCCAGATGAGACCTCAGTGCATCAGAGGGCCCTACCAAGGATGAGGCATATCCACTTTGGAGGATGCTGGTGTGGTTCATTTATATAGATGTAGCCTCCAGTCTTCATGCATTTTTTTGCTACCTAACTGCTGGCTCCCTTAGAAGTAAGCAAGCAAAAGAGGAGGGTCCTATTGACCTTTTAGAAAGGGATCTTTCATTCCGATTATCTCCTATTATATGGTGATACAGCCAACACTCATGATGACCTCAGCACTAACTCAACATGTATTTAGAGAAATGCCCATTCCACAGTGGAGAAGGAGATATACTAAAGCTTGACTGAAGCTTACCACACATGAGGGATGGTGGGTACTTTTTTGTTAGTTTTCCCTCCTTTTGTTGGTGGGCATGAAGGATGCAGTCGACGATCCTATTGCCTCTTGAAAACCAATGCCATCTCTCCCTCCCCCAACCTATTATTTTTGCCACTGCTAATGTGTGAAGAGTGCTGAATGTCAGATCCCCACTAGACCAGTAATACATGAAAGATGTCAGCATGATCTTCTTGGGAAGTAATTACAATTATGCTAGTGACTCAGATCAGAATTGGGCTGTGGTAATAAAACCATTCAGGGGATGTTGAATGCACAAATAGGCTCCAGCTTCCAGTGTGGGATCTTCATAGATCACCTGGAAAGTCTGTGTGTACATTCCCCTTGCCAGGAGTCCACAAATGTTATCAGATTTCTACACAGGTGCTTATGACTGGAGAAAAGTTAAAAGCCATGGACATAGCATCCCTTTCTGGGTATCTGTCTTCTGAATCCAGGACACTGCCTCTAACTTTGCCTATACCTCTTATTCCTTTGCTCTTCCCAGAAAAAACAAGTGAGTCAGACCAAGATCCGGGTCATCTCAACTATTTTGTTCATCTTGGCTGGCTGCATCGTATTTGTGACGATCCCTGCTGTCATTTTTAAATACATCGAGGGGTGGACAGCCTTGGAGTCCATTTACTTTGTGGTGGTCACTCTGACTACAGTAGGCTTTGGTGATTTCGTGGCAGGTAAGCAACCATCATTCCCAGTCACTTGAGCCTTGGTGGGGAAAACAATCTCTTGGGTGTCTTTTCAAAACCATGATGTTAGGGGTTGGAGATTTAGCTTATTTCTAACATGCTTGGTCAGCAATCCCAAGGTCTTTGGTCTGGGTCTTCGGAGCTTTGAGAAGAAAGAATCAAAATCATGGTAATAGGTATTTTTTAGAGGAGACAAATAAAAATAGCTTAATGTTGGTCAATTCAGTGTGATATAAGTAGCATCAAGTTATTTATTTACAGTTTTCCTGCCTGAGAAGAAAGCCAGGCCCTTCCTCCTTAGGATGCTGACTTAACATTGTTATCACTGTATGGATTGTGTAAGGGTGAAGCAAATTTCTCATTGAATGTTTGACTTCTCAACCGCATTAAGGTTTCTAGAGTAACTTGATAATTAGTAACTTGATAAAGAGCATAATTAGCCACAGGCAAATATCAGACTTGGGAGCAATTAGCATAGAGGTTGGTCTTCAGGGAAATCTCCTAACACTGAGGTGACAGTCACTGTCTCTGTTGCCCAACCACAGTGGTCTGGATGGAGTCCTAGGGCTCAGGAAAGAAACTGAGCCACAAGGAGCAACTTTCAGCCTCTTAAGTCTACAAGCCCATTCAGGCCATCCCATAGTGTCATCTATAGAAGACTGTCCCTGGGGAAGTCAGATGATGTTCCAGTCTAAAATGAATACCTGTGAGAGCAGAGGAGAAAGAGATGCTACACATCATTTTTAAATGCTTCACAGGGTCATTTCGCAAGGGGCAGTGTTTTGGTGATGGCCGTACTAGCATCACTGACCTAAGGACTAAGGATAGTTTGCACACTTGGTGACAGACCCTGCTGTCCAACCAATAGCTCTGTTCAGTGTTAAGCAGGACAAAGGACAGAACTCTGGCTGTGAGAACTGGCCAAGTGTGCTAAGTGTTTATGCTTTTTATCCCCTCTCCCCAGACAGTTGATTGAGAGAAAGCATTCCCGAAATTGGAGTGGCCTGTGGGCTTAGGGAAAAGCTCAAAGCCCCTTCATGCTTTTTATTTATTATTATGAGCCATTGTGGACTAAGCTCTTGGTACATGTTGGCCCTTTATCATTCATTACTTCAAAGAGGGTGATCTATACTGTCCTCAGACCTGTGCTGTTTGGGTGGGTCTTCCTTGCTTGATTACAGAACTGTAGTTCCTTTTCTCAGAGGCCTCCACAGATTAGGGTCTCTTAGTGTGCATAATGCTGACTGCAATGGACCAGGTTCTTGTTTTGTTTATACATGTGTATATATGTGCATCTGTGTGAGCATATGCACATGTGTGAGGGTGTAAGTATAAGTATTGAGTGTCTTTTGCTGGCCTTCTCTCTGCTTGTTCTTTTGAGGAAGGGTCTTTCCCTCAACATGGGGCTCATATTTTCTTGCTTGGATCAGTAATCATCAAAACCCAGTACTTTTTCTGTCTCTCTCTTGCTTGGAGCTGGGATAACAGGCCTGTGTGGGATGTCCAGCTTAGTAGGCAGGTGCTGGAATCCAAACTCTGGTTCTCATGATTGTGCAAGCAAGTATGCTGTTTCTCTAGCCCCTAAACCAATCTCTCCCAAAAGTCCTGTTTCCAGAGCTCACATGGATTAACTTGTGGAAAATGCACTCAGTAGGAGTTTGTCAGTGCATTTATTATTAAGAGTGCTCTTGGTACCTCCAGAGGATTGGTTTTGGGAACCCTGTAGATATTAAAATCAACAGATGCTCAAGCCCCTCATAGGAAAAAAAAAAAAAAAACCAATGTAACTTTTACACACAATTTATGCATATCCTCCTGTGCATGTTAAACCATCTGTATGTAGATGAATTATAATAATGCAATGTAAATGATATGCAAATAGCCATCATACTGTATTGTTTAGGGAGTGCTGAAAATAAAAAGTCATGCACATATCTAATACTGACATAAAAGTTTGGATATTTTTGGTCCATCCCTGGTTGGTTGAATCCACCCAGACAACTTGTAGATATGGGGAGGGGGACAATACTCTGACAGGAAGGGTTGCTGGACTATTCAAATAATGTACACGACCAAGAGTTGATGGCCACTGTGATCTTATTAGATAGCAGCTCTGCTAGAAATGCAACTGGATTGTGAGCCTAGCCTTTAACAGCCCAGCCATCTCTCTAGCCAAAAAGGACTTTGAGAGCACATTCCCCCATGGAGGGACACTCCCTTAACCTAGAGACAGGAGAGACGGCCTAGTCCCTACTCCAATGACAGATTTAGATGACCCCTCCTGGAAGGCATAGCTCTACATGTGGAGTGGGGGCAGGGATGGGAGGGGAGGGTGGTCAGGGGGCATGGGAGGGTGAGGGATGGAGGGAAGGAGGGAGGGACAGGGAACTGGGACCCATATGTAAAATAAAAAATAATAATAAAAAGAAATGCAACCGGGACTGGGAAGGTGAGCCACTCAGAACTGATTGTTGCTTCATTTTGCAGCTGGCCCACTTTGGGACAGCCTAATGACACGGCATTATTTCACAACCATGAGTGGGAGTGCACACAGAGCTTGCAGTTCTGGCCATGGCTAATGAAAGGCTACACAGAAGCATGTGCTCTGTATTGTTGGCTAGCACATGCCCCAGTGATAGGCTTGGCTGGGTTCTAGCAACTTGCAAAGGTAAATATTTACTTAGGCCAAAGGGGAAGCAACACTTAAGTGAGCGTAGCCCACAAAGATGACCCCCAATACTGAAGAAGGCTGGCTACAGGGGAGAAAACAGAGACAACTAGGCCAAAGCAAAGAGAGACCTGACACCTCAGAACAGTCTGCCAGGGCTTGGCATTCCCCTTTTACTTATTTTTTTTAAATCATGTTTTTGCTGTACATATGAATGTGCACCATGCATGTGTCTGGGGCCCTTGGAAGCCAGAAAAGGAGGCATTGGAACCCCCAGAATATGACTTACAGATGGTCATCAGCCACTTTGTGGATCTTCTGCAAGAGCAGTAAGTGCTCTTAACCCCTGAGTCATATCTCCAGTCCTATTCCTGTTACAGTAGAATTCATGGGCTTTGCGGAAGAGTAGGTTTGAATTTATTAATTCAACCTGGTGGGTGTTCACCAGAGTTTTCAAGGTATTCTCGCCACAATAGAGTCAGCAAAGCTTCAGGGATGCCAGATGTGGTGACACTCATGACCCAGTGGGAAAGGCTAGAAATCTTTCATCACCCAGTATCCTGACTGCTAGTGCATTATCCATCTGAGATATCTTGGAGGCATCCTGCTTGCTCTCTGAGTGAGTGCTCTCCTCAACATTGCTAGCAGGTAGGTCAGAATCAGTAGGCTAATTATTTGGAATAAATGATCGTTTCTCTCCATGGAATAGCTAGTCAATACCTTTAGGTTACTGGCCAATTTGGTCTAATGGATTTTTTCCCCCATAATCTTTATTTATAAGATGATGGGATTGAACTAGTTGGTCTCACAGGTACTGTGAGGTGGTATTTCTAATTGCCTGGCCTAATTGACCCCAGGATGAACATTATGTAAACACCATCCCTTTCTTAGCATCAAACCTCTATTTCATGCATCAAAGTCTCAGTAATGTTGTTAAACCCAATTTTATTTCTGCATACTCACTCATTTGGAATGGTTTTTTTTCTCTACTTTCTTTTCCTCTTTCTTCTCCTTTCCTCACTCTTCCCCTCCCCATCTTCCCCTTCTTTGCCTCCATCCTTTCCTTCTACCCTCCCCTCCTGGCCTCTCCCTCTTTCCTGTTCTCTCCCCTTCTTGAACGTCCTACTCCTTCCCAGTCTGTACTCCTTTTGCCTAGCTCCCCCTCTCCTTTTCAGAGTCAAGTTCTCATCATGTAGCTCTGGCTCACCTGGTCCTCACTGTATTTCCGAGGCTGGCCTTGAACTCACAGTGCATCCTCCTATCTTTGCTTCTTGAGTGATAGTGTACTACCATGTTGAACCCTCCCAGTATTGAGTCTGTGTTAAGGTGAATTCAGAGAAGTTTGGGAAAAACAAAAGGACAGGTAGACTGACCTCTGAGATACTTTTCCTGTGAAATCAGTTATTTGTCAGTGAGAGTAGATAACTCAGGTTGGCCACTGACATTTTTATATTACAGAATTGAGGTTTTATCTTTAATGGTTAAGAATCAAAGATATTAAACTACAAGCAAGATTCTAGCTTTTGTTGTTTTGTTTCCTGCAAACCTAATAGCCTATAAATGGGCTATGGAATGATATTTTCTTCCATGGACTGGAATGAGCTCTGTAAATACCAACTACTGACAATATTAAAAGTACCATTTGGTTGTTTTCAGGGGGAAATGCTGGCATCAATTACCGAGAGTGGTATAAGCCACTGGTGTGGTTTTGGATCCTTGTTGGCCTTGCCTACTTTGCAGCTGTCCTCAGTATGATTGGAGACTGGCTTCGAGTTTTATCCAAAAAGACAAAAGAGGAGGTAAAGGACTCCTTTCTGACCCCAAGAATGTCCCTGACATCCCATTAGCCCTTGTTGAGAAATGCCTGTTTCTGAATCCATGAAGGGATTATATGGTTCCTTTTTCTATCTATTTAGAAACAAAGTTAAGTCGATAGTAGCTATTTCTAGATCCTTTAGTAAATAACTGTTTTAAAAATATAAGGGAAAAAATAGAAATGCTAGGAGAGGGTGGCTGCTTGCTACAGAAAGAATATAGTTTCCTGTGTTAGCAAACACATGGGAGGCTCTGTGGACTTGTCGGGAGCCTGGGGAAGCTGGCCTGTCCTCCAGGTCTCAGATGGTACATTGACACTAGGTGAAGGTCAATGAACAGTGGCCAGCCACGGTGCCATATTCCCCACGTCTCCTCATAGTCAGATCCTCAGCTTTTATTCCTGTTGGCACACAACTACAGTCTTCACTCCTTCTAGAAGTTTATATGAAACTCTGTACCACTGATTACCTTCCTAACGCTGTGACCCTTTAATACAGTTCCTCATGTTTTGGGGACCCCCCACACCATAAAATTATTTAATTGCTACTTCTTTTTTTGTTTGTTTTTCAAGACAGGGTTTCTCTATGTAGCTTTGTAGACCAGGCTGGCTTAGAACTCACAGAGATCCACCTGCCTCTGCCTCCCGAGTGCTGGGAATAAAGGTGTGCACCATCACCACCCTGCTAATTGCTGCTTCTAAGGAAGTATTTTAGGTGGGCTTTGGTGGGAAATGCCCTTTTCCTATACCTTAACCAGGGAAATATGGCCATTAAATCCCTTGGAGGGGCCTCCTCAGTCAGGTCATGTCCCTTAGCACATAGCATGACTTCAATTGAGGGTGACTAACCATCCATCACAGTTTGCCCACAGCATTTAGGGGATTTCCTGGGGGCACAGTACCACCAGGAATCGAACCCCAGCACATTGTACATGCTAGGAAGGTGCTCTACCATTGAGTTCTACAACCAATGTTTGGCATTCAGGAAGCTGGGACAGGTTGGTCGTACAACCAATGTTTGGCATTCAGGAAGCTGGGACAGGTTGGTCGTCTTATCCAGACAGAAGTATTGGGAAGGCAGGAAATATCAAAGATCTGCTGAGCACTGACTGTATTGGCCAAGATTGAGTTGGGTGTGGTCTTTGAGGTTATGATAGAAGATCCATGAAACGGATACATTAAAAAAAATTGGACCATACAATTGGACACACACACACACACACACACACACACACACACACACACACACACACACACAGAGAGAGAGAGAGAGAGAGAGAGAGAGAGAGAGAGAGAGAGAGAGAGAGAGAGAGAAACTAAAACTAAACTCCTGATTTCTTCTCCAGATGCTATCCGATTCTATTCAGTCACAATTTCCCAACCTCAAGTGCTTCCAAGCTCTCCCTACTCCATTAGTTAGTCAATAGCCAGTTTGACACGGGTGATTAATTGGATGGCAGGAAGTATCCAAGAAGACAGATGTAGTGCTTTCTCTCTTTCCCTACAAGACCATCATTCCTCGGTCTTCCTCAGAGACAGCCTCACTCCTGGGATACGTGAGGGCTGTGGGATTCTGAGAAGTGTGAAGGAAGAGGGATTTCTTAGTTTGTTTTTGCACTTCTGTCCTGTCCAGGTTGGTGAGATCAAAGCCCATGCAGCTGAATGGAAAGCTAATGTCACCGCAGAGTTCCGGGAGACAAGAAGGCGGCTCAGCGTTGAGATCCATGACAAACTACAGCGAGCAGCCACCATCCGCAGTATGGAGCGTCGGAGGCTGGGCTTGGACCAGAGGGCCCACTCACTGGATATGCTATCCCCAGAGAAGCGATCTGTCTTTGCAGCCTTGGATACAGGCCGTTTCAAGGCCTCATCCCAGGAAAGCATCAACAACCGACCCAACAACCTGCGCCTTAAGGGGTCAGAACAGCTCAATAAACATGGGCAAGGCGCTTCTGAGGACAACATCATCAACAAGTTTGGGTCCACCTCCAAACTCACCAAGAGGAAAAACAAAGATCTCAAAAAGACCTTACCCGAGGATGTTCAGAAAATTTACAAAACCTTCCGGAATTACTCTCTGGATGAAGAGAAGAAAGAGGAAGAGACAGAAAAGATGTGTAACTCAGACAACTCCAGCACAGCCATGCTGACGGAATGTATACAGCAGCAAGCTGAGATGGAGAATGGAATGATACCCACGGACACCAAAGACCAGGGGCTGGAGAACAACTCATTACTTGAAGACAGAAACTAAATGTTAAAGACACTGGAGTTGGACTAAGTGTTGTCTTGTTTTTGTTGTTTTGTTTTTTCTTTTTCTTTTCTTTAAAAAAAATATTCACACTGAGACACGTGCCTTAAATAGACTTGTTAGTCCAAAATTACATAACATTGAAGAATATATTTCACCGTGCCATACACGACTGAAGGCTTGCTCTGCCAAGAGGGATCAGACAGGAGCTTCATTTCAGATAGTGGTGGCAAGACACACTGGGAGTGCTTGCCTACATAGCAAATGTTGGCTGTCCCCTTGAGGGAAGTCCCAGTGGCAATGCCCTCGCCCTCAGACAACACCACTCTGATGTGTCACATAGATAGACAAGGGCAGCTATTCCTTAGACTAGCCTCTGAGAGGACAGGTTTGTCTTTTGAATGGAGTCTCCATTCCTGAACCTCTACCTTTAGTGATAGGTCATACACAAAAAGGGTCAGCTGTTTGCAGGCGACCTGGTACCTTTAGCTAGGGTTTGAGTGGACATTTTGCTATGTCCTCAGCTTGAATTTTGGCAGGGCACAGTGCAAAACAGCTACTCCAGAAGAATGTCCTTGGGACCCAAAAGTACCTGGAGTTTGTTGGAAGCTGATCAGAGCACACATTTTATAGGGTGCAATTGCTTTTCTCATTAAAAAAAAAAATCACAGACACATCCCACTGTGGATATCTCCTTAACCAATGATAGAAGCCCACTGAACTTAGTCTTTTTTGTAGGATGGGTAGTCCATGTAGGCTTCAAGCGTTGGTGGTGAAAACACCACTTTAGCCACTACCTTGTTGGAAGGCAAATCATGCATTTTCTTCAGTGGGTGTGAAGGTAAAAATAAACTGATTTTGGAACATTCATACTCACTTTTCTACAGGAACTTTAATTATAACTTGTTTTGATAGGAGGGAGGAAATACCATAACCATTGCCTTTGCATGATGCCAGTGGCTTGCTGTTCTGTCTAGCTGATCCCATTTTTTTTTTATTTTAAATAAAAATAAGAATAGACACCTTGTGCTTATGAGATACACCAAGGAGGACCATGGCATCTTTCCATCTCAGGGCTTTTTGTCCTTTTGGGTGTCTTAGAGTAGACATAGCTATGAGACTCAACCTTGCAATTTCCATACAAAAGGAAAATGAATATGTCACTCAGCTCTTGTATATTAAGATGGAATGGTTTAAGTTGTTTGCAGCTTAAGTGCCATTAATCCCATTTTAAAATACTGAAAAGGAGTATTTATACGATTGCATTTCATTCTTGTGTTTTGTTGTGCCCTTATCAATTTCATTTTATGCCTATGTTCTTTATGCCTTTATTTATGGGGCATAGCCCTCTCTCACCTGTTCATCTCACCCCTGCTATACAGTCAAAAGGTAACTCCCCTATCTTTGTTTCTAGGCAAACAGTGATCAACATGTGATATCAATGATTGTTTATCAGGTTACAATGTCCAGGGAAGGAACATTGTAGGGAAGGTCCAAAGGTAAATTTTGGCAGGATGGTTTTTAAAGGATTTTTATCAGAAAGGGGAAATGCATCTTACCTGTGTATGCTTCAGCTTTAATCAGATTTGGCTAACATGTTGGTTTAGCTAGCTAGTGACCTGGGCCCCTGCACTTAAACATTTGGATTCTGTAATATGAGAAAATTGCTGGCTCTGGGTCTTCTCGACTGACTCAGTAACACCTTTAACTGATTTCATGGACTTTTCTGTAATATTCACAGAGCATATTTAACAAAAGATCATAGCACAAGCAGAGACTTTCAGAAGCTATCTTCCATTTTCTAACTCTGAGTGGAAAATTACGCCCATTGCCTCCTTGAACACTAATACCATGGAAGACCCATCACCAATGCCTAGTTCCCCAAAATGCACTGCTTATAGCTGTCCCCTTAGTGGAGCCCAGAAGCCCCTGTTTCCCAGATCCCAAATCTTCAGGGTCTTGTTAGAGATCTGAGAAGTCAAATAAGAATCATTATGGTGAGGCCTTCTCTGTCAAGGGTTTGTCTGGCATAACTCCTTTGGAACAGAATACTGGTGTAGACTCTGGAAAATGATACTTAGGCAGGTGTGGATGCTGGGCTTTCATTATGGCAAGGGTCCAGACTGACTCATTGTGTTAAAGATGAGTGGGGTTTCTCTTGTTCTGACAAGTTTCCCAACAACACTGCATGTGCATCTCATTCATTCCAGTCTCCACTGTATGGTACCGTGGTATGTCTTCATGGTTGTGTTAAAGCTGAAGGCACTGGATCTGTATCTGGTGAAAAAGCATCCTGTCATTGGTCCTGTGCCTTTCATGGGCTCAGCACTGGGTGGTATGTCCTACGGGGCTCACTGAAACCTCGCCATGTCCCATGGGAAGCATTCTCATGTCCTTTGTAGACAGACAAGGATGCAGAGACTCAGGGAGGCTAAATAACTTGCCAGGAGCTCACAGCAAGAAGGTAGTGAAGCTGCAGTATCTACATCATGTGCCCTTGTGAATGAGAGTACGTACCTGTGTGCAGTTGTGTGTGTTACAGTGTGTGCATGCACACACCTTATAAGTTTCATGAGCACAGTTGACAGAGGTGAGAAGACAGGCATTTATACCCCTATGAAGGCATGAAGTTTTGGGGCTAAACCTGACCTAAAACGTTGCCTTTGAGACATACTGTATGCTCTTGGCTTGGGGATGCCATGGACAGCACCTTTTCTCTATTGCCACAAATGCCCCTCAAAAGCACTCATTTGCACTTTATTTGATTTTTTTTTTTGCAGGAACTCTTCATACAGCAGGAATTAGACAACTTAGAGGTCTGTGTTACATGATCAGCCAAATGGAACAGGTGCCCGAGTTGGTGGGTGCACAGATGTAATCGAGAGACTCAAACTACAGTAGTGCTGATAATCAAACATAACCTTGGATTAAGAGTATGTAACACATCTCCTGAGTGTTGGATACAGGTTTTAAATGATGTCAGAGAGGACCCTCTATGACAATAGTGTATGTGGACAAAGTGTTCTAAAAACCTTGAAGTACTCTCCAAAGGAGAAGCCGAAACGGGGCAAGAGATTTACTATCTCTTCATGTGTACATGCTAAGCCTGTATTGGTTGTTTGGATGTTACCCCTGTAAAGGTGGGGGCAAATAACGTGTGATAAGACAGCTGCTACGTGTTACATATAAACATCAGCCTAGCCTCTCATCAGTGCTCCCTGTCCCTCTTAAACCCAGAATAAATGAATGGATGTTACACTTGGGAAGGGCACGTGTTCAGTGTCTTCAGTGGACAGTTTTGTGCTTCATTTGGCAGGCTGGGTTCATAACTGTTCTCTCTTCTGGAGGTTTACTGGCGAGAGCCAAAGGACAGCTTGGAGAGACTCGATTATATGCCCAGTCCTAACTCAGTATGATTCACTCTGGCAGTTTGTCAGTTTTGGTATAGGGCTGTCTAGTGTGTATGTGCGGCATGTGTGTGTGAAAGGGAGGTTACTGGCCTACAATTCAGGTATCTGGGACTACTGTTTGTGTTCTCCCACATTATAGCCTAGGCTCATGAGCATGCGGCTTCCTTGTACCTCAACTGCACACCAAGATTATTACTAAACCTGTTCTCAGTTGTACAGTGCTCTGAGAGAACATTTCTCATTCCATGAGTTAATTCAATCAGAAAATTATCAAGTTGGATTTCTGAGAGTTGACTAATGGCCCTACTCCCATTCTTGGTTTGTTTCTTGCATGGTGATGGAGACCAGAGATATTTAAGAGACTGGTGTCCAAATTAGGATCACATCCCATATAGGCTCTACCACTGATCTAGTCTAGCACTCCTTCACCTGGCAGGTCACAGGATGAAGGTTTTTTTTGGGGGTGAGGTGGGGTAGGGTGGGGCAGGGCAATGGTGTTAAGACTAGTCAAAGAATTGTGAGCCATTCCTATTTGCACTCTGATGTCCTAAAGTTCCCTTTGAGTTGTGAATTCAAGTCCTTCCCTCTCCCCACTTCCAGTACATAAAGGCACACATGCATGTAGGAAATGACTGTCTGGGTTCCATGGGGACAACTTCATGTGGAATGTTCTAGTTGTGAGAACCTTAACAAACAACCCCTCTCCCCATGTCATTTCCTGGGGGATATCAAAGCTGCTTATCTATTTGTATGCTTGGTTTGGGGGACTAGTGAAAATGTGTGCCAGGGTTCCGATTGAGGCAGTCATGGTTCACTGGACTGGGGAAGAATGTGAGCTATCCAGTGCAGATTGGTTTCTGCATCAGTGCAAAGACCCCAAAAGGAAATGAAGCAAAGCAAACTTGCAGAGCCTCTCTGTAAAAGAAAATGAGCCCTGCTGTCTTCTGTGGGTTGGCCTTCTGCATTTTGCCAACGCTTCCCATCTGGCAGCCTCTCTCACCATTAGGATACATCTGTGTGCAAAGACAGAGGCTGAGTGGACATGGGAAGGCTCTCCTGGCACGACATACGAACTAGTTAATCATAGCCTCAAAAAGACACACAAAGTCACTTTCATTTGGCGCTGCAGTGTGTGTGTGTGTGTGTGTGTGTGTGTGTGTGTGTGTGTGTGTGTGTGCAGCAGCCACATGGCTTTGGTAAAGTCCTGCATCCTGCCCTTGTGCAGTAGCCATGTTGCTCCTCATTACCCTCTTCCATGCTCCATGTGCTTCTTGGTCCTTCCATGTCTATAGATCATACAACACTAGTTTAGTGGTACAGAGAGGTGAGAGGTGTTTTGACTTACTGGATGGAATCATCATTTTCACAGATGCCTGAGACTGGGGACCCCCTTATGTTCTCTGTCCTTAAGTGAAAACAGTTTCCTATGCGTTAAAAGAAACCCCTTGGAGAAGACTTCCAGTCCATCAACTCCGTAGACTTGTGCCACAGAGACTGCTGCATGGCCTGTCCCATGTGGCTAGGGTTCTAGTTGGAAGGGGGAAGCTGCAGTCATGCCTAGAAGTGATATGCAAACCATCCTATATACTAACCTTTTCATCCCTTTTCTGCCCCAGAGCTGCAGGCAAGGGACCCAGTTATGTCAGATGATAAGCCCATGTGTGGAAATGTTTTATCTATTTTTCTCTTTGTAGGATTTTATGGTGCTTTTTTTAAAAAAAGGCATTTTACAGTTAATGATGTGTTGGGGGCATTTAATATTGTTATTAGGAGGAGAAGTGGGAATTTGCTTGTAACATTTCAATAAGCTGTGCTGCTATTATCCTTATTTGATGATGTAATTTTTTTCCATTGATGGAGAACATTGCAACAAAGATCTTCCTGAAGATCCAATCTAACATATGTCCTGTTTTCCTTTCTGTTATGGGATGTGTCTGGTTCATAGTGGCTGGATTGGGCACTCCATTCAGTACCATAGGGTAGGCTCTTTCCTTGGCTTTCATATATTGCCCTGTGTTCATGAGTACAGAGCTGGAGGAACCTACTGTATGGAGGAGGAAGGCAGGAATCCCTCAAGGAAAGGGAATTTTTAATAAGTCAGAATTTTGACTGTGCACTTGCATTCAGTTTTATTTTTATTTTTATCTTATCTCAGTTGCATGTTGTTGGGGTTGGGTCCCATGATAAACCACAGTTTCTGTGTGAGGAACTAAATTTGGGCATTGTGACAGGTCTGCCACTCTGAAACATATAGCTCCTCTGGTTCAGATGTTGCAAGATACATTGATATGATCTTGCTGCGTGTGTCTTTCATGATGGGTGGCAATAAATGGCAACAGGTTCTGGGCATCTATTATGTACTAGGTAGTCTACTAGCTGTTGACAAGCATCTCACTTCACCTTATGAATGAAAAAAGTGTAGGCCACCACCACTTTGAGGCTCTGAGAGAAGGTTCAACCTCTAAACAACTCAATCAGCTTGACTGTCTCTAGGTTGAGCACTTCATAGGAAATGCACTTTGATCATTATTTTTTTTTCAGTAAAGGTGCCATGAATTCAATAATGTCAAGGTATAAGGCTGTTAGCTGGAGTAAGACCAACTAAATGGCTTGCAGGTTAGTTGAAGTCAAGAGCTAAGTTTAGGTCTGCTGGTCGTAACTGGTCAAGGACAGTTCTAGTTTGTGTTTTTATTGTCTTTCTGGGCCTTCCACAGTATGAAACACATGCAAGGAGTTCACCAAGATTGTTTGAAAATATAGTACAAATAGGTCAGTGGATTTCCTTGGCCTTTGGTATAAAATCCAATAATATGGTCTACCAGGCCCTGCTCTATGACATGTCTCAGGACAAATAATTGTTCCCACCCCCATTTTTGAATTACTTTTGAGCTCATCAAACCGTCTGCTCTTTTTCTCTAAGTCTTTATACCTGTGTCCCTTATGGGAGTCATCTTCACTTGTGTCCCATTCCACTCCTGTCTGGAAAGTTGGAGTTCTTTGGATTGAAGTAGAAGAGGTATCCCCCAAAAATCCTTTCTTAACCTTCTCCAACCCCTTAGAGCAAGTTACTTGCCTTTAGCCCAACTGGACCTTTCCTCAACTATGTCACTTGCTAGACTGGATTTTCACTGATATTTCCCATGCCTGTTTTATTGGATAATAAGCTCTCATGGCAGGGCCTGTGTCTGCCATTCCTGTCTTCTGCAGGGACAAGATACTAAACACAATACTGACACAAGTGAGTGGGACAGTTTGATTATGATTGCTTACTGAGCACATTTTCATCCTTCAAAGAAGATTTAACTTTTCACAAATTGGAAGGCCACCTGGAGTCAAGACCGATGGTTCCAGTTGTTTATCCCCTCTCCCCCAAACTCCTTAGTATCATTTGAGGAAACCTTAGGAAAACCACATTCATCTACAAAGAAATGAGATTTAAACAAAAACAAAACAATTCCAAACTTCTAATCACAGGTTGAAATAATTACACTGGAAAGATGACTCTCGTGAAATCATCTCTCATTTAGATCGCTGGATACTGGCAATGGCCATTTCAAAGCCAGCATTACTATAAAAAGAACTGGAAGTTATATGTAGTCAGGAAATAAGAGATTATACTCCCTGGGGATATTTGTGGCCACAGCTCCTGCCTGTGCTTGAGGACCTTGTAGCCACCAATCACACATTCCCTTCCCGTTCCTGTTAACATGACTGTGCTCTTAGAGTCCCTTCTAAGATTATACTCCCAGGTAGTGACTGATTCTCAAAATGTTGCAGTGACCCTTGTATGTCCCGAGACGCCATCAGGGGCCCTGTGATGTCTGAGCTGTTTCCAGCATAGTATGAAGTCGGCATTTGCCATTTTTTTTTGGTCTCACCCCCCCCCCACAATGAGAATACACTATCTGCAACTGAGTCTTGGCACACAGGCAAGCGGATCTGATACCTTCTGATGAGCATCATGCTTTCCAAAATGACAGCAAATGGGTCTGCATTTCTTGGAGTTTAAAAGGTACCAGGTGTACTAATTCTATTAAAAAGGGCTTCCGGCTTGCCCTCCTAGTAATGGATCACAGCTGTGGCCACAAAACTGTTTTTCCAGGCCTTCTTCAGCTGCCCTGGTCAAGGCTATTTTTTGGCTACTATGTAGTTAGTTGATGAAGCTTTCTAGACGTTTCTCTGGTACTCCTAAAAGACTTTAGACAGCCTCCAGGTCATGCCTTGGTCACATCAGCCTTCCTTCATTCACCATTTCCCCCCATATATTGACAGTTCCTAGAGAGCGCTCTCCTTGCCCTGTTTTCAAGGGCTTTGTCCAGGACACGGGGGTGGGGGGGAGAGTTTAAAAGATGTATGCCAT